CCACTTGGGTCTGGGGTCCGATCTACAGCCCGATCGACGAAGATATGGGGCCAGCAGACGCGTCTTGAAGCGAAGTGAGAGCCCAGCTTCGTTCGAGTAGGTAGGTAGGTACCTGGCATGAGCAGCAGGAGATTAGATGGAGATGTCGTAGAGCGCGTAGGCGAATGAAGAGAGACTTGAGCATGAGCCACAGGGTTTCCCTGAAGTCTGAAGCATGGCTTCCTACCATCATGGGCTGAACAGAACAGTGAGGTTTACGTCCTAGTCTAAGTGAGCGAGTGTTGACGGCATGGAGTGGAAAAGGTATCCGTGGACCATGAAGTGAGTGGACATGGGAAAGCAGCGACATTGAAATTGAAGGTTAATTAGACGCGCGCCTGGAGTACAGAGTGGGGCAGTTCATTACCAGTGGACCTCGATGAATGGATGCCGGGCCTTTTACTGGCCAGGAGTCGAAATAGCATCACGCTAACCCCATTTGCTTTTCGGATCCATAGCGGGCCGGTGTTTCTCCACAGAGATACATTCCCGCCTGGCATCCATGCCTCCCGTCGAGTCTCTCGTCTCTCCTCTACTCTTCCTTGAACCTTCTGCAGTGTCACGCAAAGCATTTCCCAGTACTACATCATAACTCTGTAGTCTGGCCTGGGTATAAGCGAACCTAAGAGTCCACGGCTCCATTTGTCTCTTTTCCCATCGCTTGCAGAACCAACACATTGCTAGGGCTGTATGCACTTCATTAACATCAAACAGCCCTCGAGGCAGGGCCGCATCTGCAAAGCAACCACCGCAGCCGAGCGCTTGTTTCTTTCGTGACCGAAGGACGGCCTGGATGACGCCGGAAACAACAAGTTCGTGTTTGTTTGCTATGGATCCTCGCGCCATGCTGAATCTGATCGACTCGAGATCCAGAGGGCAGTGAAGCCCTAACCATCGCCGGGCCATGCTATAGATAGTAGACTGCTGCAATATCGTCTTTCCTATGATCTCGTTCATGAATGAAAACAATTTTGAGAATGGCTCCGCTATCTTTTCCTATGCGAGAACTCGTCTCTCACAGCCCAGGGGGAGAGATTGGACCTCGTTCTCTATCCTACCTACGAAGAAGCTTGGGATGACGTGAACTAGGACTTGCAGCAGTCTCCGTTTTTGAGGAGCAGATCACCTATACAGTCTTGGTACATCATCATACCCTGAGGCACAGCAGGATATTCCTATGATCTTGTGCGAAAAACACGGATGGCTATGATGTTATGGGACTGGATTATGGTTCGCGTTACTATTGACGCATATTCCACGCCTAGACCATATGGAAGCCTTGGTTCGTTCCTAGTAATAGGGATTCGACTTTGGTCGAATTCTGCCCACGCAGCCTTTGGTAGGAGCATCGACTTGCCGGTGGCAAACTGACAGAGGAAGCCGGCTGGGCCACCAATAGCTTGAGCACGGTCCATTTAGTAGGCCTCTCCAAATGCGCGGGGCAGACCAGCGGATGAATAGTGCCTGTGCTAAAGATGATCCTACCAGCCGCCAAATCGGTTAGGTTCCCCTTCTGTCAGCTGTATCCAATAATGATTTGCGGCCGCACTTCTTCAACTTCCTATCTGTACCTGGTTGCATGTGCCCGTGTGCCTGGTAAGGAAGCCAGCAGGGTGGCTTACACCAGGTTCGGGGCATCATAGGAGAGGCTTCCTTCGCTCCCAAGTTCTAGCAGCTGGCCCTCAAAGAAAACGCAATACTCCACGGCGCATCACTGTAGTTCCGTGTGGGCGGCTCCTAAGGTGTTTTAGCCGTATTGGTGGTAGCTGATTGTGCTGGTGTGGTGGGTTCTAGACCTGGTGCCTTTGTTGTCGGATGTGGAAAAGCCATTGATAAGACACCACATAGGCAGGGGCAAAAGACTCGTGGCTGCAGCTGTCAGCTTGGCTGAATGGAGAAATAAAAGATGAAAATTATCCCTCCAGATCTGCAACGGAAAGCCAAGCCGACAAAAGTAAGTCAGTGTCAGTCAGTGTCAAAGAGAAGGGTTAGGTCAAGTTAGGGAAAACAAGCATTCAAAATCCCGTTCAGCTCCATTCGTTCCTACCATTCCACGGGCAGACGGCAGTTCTGCAAGGCGAAACCTGGGCAGATAAAACCGATAAGGCGAGACCCCTGCTCACACTGACGGGAGGTGCTCACACCTTTCTTCCTGCACTCCAACCTTGGGCTTACTTCACTACTCCAATTATTAACCTACCGTACCTTGCCTTCTGTGCTTTCTTTACCTCCACGTTCGTTCCTACCTCACCACCATTGAACCCCGACTTCCCTTGTCAGCATCTTCGCCTTAGATCGCTGGGAGGAAGAAAGGGACTTTGGTCACCAATAGTTGTCTGCTGACAACCGATTTCTCCTCCCGATCACAACTTCCGACAAGTCAACGTCGCAACCGTCTTGCAATCTTACATCGCTTCTCATTCACATTACCTTATTTCTCAACAGTCACACACACACTCTCTCTCTCCTTGAATACCCCGATAAGCACTCAGACTGTGAGAGACTCATAAGGGTAAGCAGGACTTTCCTCACCTGTCACACGTGTGACCTGCCTTGCACACAAACAATAGCCCCTCTTCCACTTCTCTTTACCTTTCTACATCCAAATCAACCTAACTTCACTTCTGATGCCTCACAAAAGTCATAAGGTACTTACCAGTCAGTGGGCTCACAAGGATTAACAGCCAATTCGCAGCTTAGTCCTGAACTACCAACCAGGAAATAAACACTTTCGCCTACTACACTTCCCTAACACTTTCCCAACTCAGGATCGCAGGATCGAAAGATCGCAAGGAAAGATCGCAGTACCAAAAAGATCGCAGGACCAAAGATCGCAAGACCAAAAGATTTCAGAAGTACAGGATCGCAAGGCCACAAGATCGCAAGATATCAGACCGGTTTACTACTACCATCATCCACATAATGGATTCTGACACATCCAACTTCACCCACTCAGTCCCAACTGGACACGGGACATCCATCGGCATGAACGATAATATCCTCATGGCATGGCCAACCACCTCAGTGATGGGAGCTTTCATTGTGGCTTGGCTCATCTTGTGTGCCTCTGTGCGCTTCAGACGCATCAACGGCCTGCAGAAACGCATGGGCTACACTGACCGTGCTTCTCTTGCCGGCATGAGCAACACCGATGCCCAGCTCATTCTCAAGCACCTCATCGAGTATGAGTTTCCCAAGTTCTACCTACTTTCGCTCCAGTTTGCCATCTTCAAGGTATGTCCACCCTGTTAGCTCTTTGCGCCTATGATGTAGTATATGGCTGCTGACTCCAAAGTACAGACCTATGGCTTTGAGACCGTATCCAAGCTCATTGTTGCCACCAAGAATTTGGCCGACCCTGAGAACGCACAAAAGAGGTGAGACCCATGAGAAGCAGGGCTTATTGTGCATATTCAGCTTCAAGACTTGGCCAAGGTAGCTAACCCAAATCTTCCAGATATGAGGACACGACCATCATCTTTGGCGAGTACGTTGAAACACTTTCATTGCTTTCCTCCTCATACCCTCAACCCCAAAGCTGACAACATCCTGCCAGATTCTCCATGAACCCCCCAACCTCGGACCGCGCTCTCAAGGCCATCTCCCGCATGAACTTCCTCCACAGCAGCTACAAAGCCCGCAACCAAATTTCCAATGCCGACTTCCTGTACACCCTCGCTGTCTGCGTCACAGAGCCCATCCACTTCATGCGCTTCTACGAATGGCGTGACCTCACCGACATGGAGGTCTGCGCCATCGGCACCCACTGGAAGGCCATTGGCGATGCCATGGACATCCAGTATAAGGGATATCTCACTCAGGACTCGTGGGCCGACGGCATCGAATTCGTCAACGACATCACTGCCTGGGCCAAGCGTTACGAGATCGAGGCTATGAAGCCTGCGGGCACCAACATCCGCGCGGGCGCCCAGCTGACACGCATGCTCCTCTGGCACGTTCCGGGTTTTGCTAAGCCTTTCGCGAAAGAGGTGTTGACCGTTCTCATGGGAGAACGCGTTCGCGATACCTTCTGGTGAGTGTTCTTGCCGGCTGTTCCTCCGCTATTACTCCCGGTGGAAGGTCACTAACGTGTGTGTCATCACAGCTTCCCGGAACCCGGCATCGTCGCATCTTTCACAGCCTACGCCGCCCTCGTTGCCCGCCGCTTCTTCGTCCGCTACTTCATGCTCCCCCGCTTCTCCCCCGTCGTCTTCTTCTCCGACCCGGACCCCAAGACCGGCCGCATCCTGCACCACGACTACCTCGTTCACCCGTACTACATCCCCGCCACCTTCTGGAACCGCTGGGGCCCCGTCGCTCTGGTCACCCGTCTCCTCGGGGGCACCGTCCCTGGCTCGGAGAAGATGATGCCGAACGGCTTCCTCGTCGAGGACATTGGTCCCAAGGAGAAGATGGGCAAGGGTTCTACCGAGTTGGCTGAGGGGGTCGAGATGCTCCGCTGCCGTGGCCGCGGTGCTTGCCCCTTTTCGGGATGAGTTGATGGTATATAACTGTGAGAGATGAGAGTGATGGAAAACAACAGGGTCCACAAGACGGAGATATACAAGCATGAAGTATTGCAATGTCGATGCTTCCGAGAAGGAGGCTCACGAACAGGCGTTTCGGTTTCTTCCTTGCATTCATTGCATGGACGGGGGTTAGATAGATCCCTTAGGATTCGGGCTAACTGGCAACCCATACGGAGTTTCGCCGTTAGGTAGCCTCGTAATCCCAGGGCATAATACATCCTCTTTTGATTGAGTACTGAGACGGTACAATTTCTTCACCTTGTATGATTTGTTTTTCACCTCATTGCCGTCACACAATCTCGACTGATATTTTTCTTCGCCTGGGGGAATCTGCTGCATTTGGCCATGCTATCATAAATTCATTACCTCCACGCCCCATGCTCCTCCTCCCTTTCATCTCTCCAAATGTCTCTTCTTTTTGATTTACCCTCTTCACGGCCCAGCGATCCCGAGGCCAACACGGCCTTGCCCACCGCCGCCGCCGCCGCCATAAGGTCCCACGCCAGCGCTCATACTTCCACCCGAGTTCGTCCCCGTGCGCTCACGCATTCTCCTACCCTCCATGAGACCTCGCAGTCCTCGCTTCTGCAGGCCGATAACGGAGCTGAGCTCGCCTCCCCAGACCTCGCGCATACCACCGCGCTCCGAGTCGCCAATCTCGGAGCTCCATTCAGACCCGCTAACGCTCGTTGTGGCGCTGAGTTCGTCGCTGGACGGCCGGCCGGAGGACATTGCGGTGTTGATACGCAGCGCCGCGGTGCGCGAAGAAAGTCCGTCTGCGCCGGTGCTGCCGTTCTGGGATTCTTCCGAAGGGAACAGCGGAGAGCCCATAGCGTCCAAGGGTACGAAGAAGTTGGGGTTGAGAGAGCCGTCGATGCCGCGGCCACCGCCGGCGGCCATGGCGGTCGCGTTGAAGACGGCGGCTGCGTTTCTCGAGTCCAAGAGGGCGTGTAGGCGCTCGACTACTGCCTCGAGAAGCCCGTCAACCCGGTATGGGCGGGCGATTTGCAAAAGTGAGCACAGGATGGGAGGTGTGCACAATGGCGATGACGGAGGCGGCAGTGAAGACGTGTAGAGGAAGTGCAGGAGGGCCTGTACCGTGAGATAGGTATGAGGAAGGTACAAGCATCGAGGTCGCGAGTTCGGTGGCAGAGACCTCGGGGTCGGGGCCGAGTTGACTGTGGCGGGGTCGACACCGCCGGCCGAGCCCGGTAGGGAGAACGAGGCTGCTGAGGCACTGGTCGGAGCTGTACTCGGGGCCTTCGCCGATGAACCGGATGAGAGTACAGTGCTGGCCATGGACGTCGAGCTTTCGGCTGTATTACGGGATGGGGTGATTGTAAGAGCGGAATTTCTGATGGGGTTGTTGACTCCAGATCGAAGAGTCATGGCATCACTACCATCCTGAGTTGCCGTCCCTTCTCGCAACAGCTGCACAAAGTAGGGTCCCCATCGCCGTGCCACCATTCTAGAATTGATGGGTATCCGCTCCCCGTGTAAGCAAAGGATATCCATGTCGGAAAGCTCCCGCATCGCTAGTGCCTTTTCACCAAGCTCCTCAGCTGCCCTAGAGTGGGAACGCCCTCCGGCCGTAGTTCCTGCTTTTCTAGCCAAACTTAATCCCGGGCTGGTGTAAGGACTACTGGCTGATACGAAGCCAGACATGGGCGTCGTCTTTCTCGGGTTGTCGTAGAATCCAAAAGCTTCCAGCTCGACCATGCAAACATTGGAAAAGTTGATACGTCGATGGTTATAGTCGTCGACGAGACTTCGTTTCCGATTGCCGAGAATCACAAAAGTGTTCCTCCGATTCCAAAGCACACCGCGGTTCCAGCTGCCCTGGCTGAAGACAGCACCGCCCGCATCGATTCGCGACCAGGTCAATGTCTTGAGGTCAAGAGCCCACAAGGCATATTCCTGCTTCGAAGACGTGAGGTATGTGCCGCTGACGACAAAGTAGGTATCGATGACGCCGCCATTCGGAAACCGCAGCCCCGGGGGCGAGTAAGAGCCTGACATAGGTTTCTCCGTCAAAGTGCCGTCTGAAGATCGGATTTGTAGTTCGAGCTTGACGTCCAAGAAGTTATAGTTGGAGTAGATAAGCATTGAGGATCCAGGCTCCCGAGCTTCTTGGCTGATGCCGCCTTCCCGTTGGTATCCATTGACGCTTGACTTCCCGATTCGTGCCGTAACAGAGGGGGGTAAAGGAGCGACGACACTTCTGTATGCGCCGCAGCTCTTGTCGAGAGGTTCGATAGCGGTCCATTTGAGGCTGCGAAGGTTGAAAACACTAATTTGCTCAATGTAGTGGTTTGCGCCATCCTGGCCGCCAACCACCACCATTTCGGCACCGCCGGTTCCATCAATGTTGATTCCTATTCTCCCTTCGTTGGGGTTGCCGGATGATGGATTGTGCTGCAATGCCGACAGTGGCGCCTTGTGCGAGGCGAACGATGCTGACGAAGGCAGTATGCAAGCGCAATGAGCGTAACGTCCTTGCGGGGGATCTTGTGTTGGAATGTAGGTCCACTTTCGGGTGGGAACGTCGTAGATGTAAATGTCCGACATGACGGTTACTTCTGGCTGCTGATCTGGGCCGGCGTTGGCTTGGTTTGGCGTGGGAGACATGCCTCCATAGCATACCAGCTTAGTGTCTCCTAACGGGCACATGGAGTGGAAGTATCGAGGCGGTGGTATATCGCCCGTGGTTTCCAGCTTCGACCAATGCCTGCGGATCAGATCCAACTCGTACAGATCAGATGTCAGGGGAGCCGGGCGACTCCGCGACAGGATTCTTCCTCCAAATACATAAAGCTTATCCCCTAGTATAGTTGTTGTAGCTCCGACAAGCGGATGCGGTTCCCTGCCTGTTGTCCTATGCACATTGCACATGAGGCCGGATAGATGCGCCGAGGACGAGGACGCAGTGGGTGTGCCAACCGCCGAAGCGGGCGTTCTTTGTTGGTTGGAAGATGGAGAAGGGCCTGCTGACAAGGGGCCGTTGCTCCGCGGAGTCAAGTTCGGTGGTTCCCTATTATTATTATCGTCGGCTCCATCTTGTCTCGAAGAGCTTGCTAAGCTACTCTGGCTGCTGGCCATGTCGGCGTTGTATCCTGATCCGCCGCTGTACATCTGAGCTCGTTCTGCTGAGGCGCTTGAGTCCATCGTACTGGTTCGACTGTACATATCATCGGCCGGAGCTTCCTCGATGGCACCGAGACCCCCCAAATTGTAATGTGCAGGAGGTGCTTCAGGCCCTGTAGGAGAAGGAAACGACGCTGGCGGTTCGGGTAGTGGTTTGGCGAGGCTGCTCTGTAGGCTCAGACTCCTCCCATGCTGAAGCTGGGCCGGGCGATTCTTGGACGAGTTTGGAACGGGTGTCGGTGTCGAAGAGGTGGGGGGAGAGGGCGACGAGGTCAAGCTTGGCGAGACGCTGTGCAGGCCCAAGCGAGAAAGTGACGGCTGTCTTGTGAGCCTCGATTCGCCGTCTCGACTTGGAGCGAACTTTTTGAAGCCGCGATACACGCCCGAGAGGATGTCCGAGGTCGTTTTGGTTGTAGGAGGAGATCTGTCCTGCTCTGTCTCCGAATCGGAAAAGCGCGAGAGATCGCCCTGCGCGGAAGACTGGTTCGAGGTTAGTCCCGGGCCAGACATTGCGACACAATCAGCCCCCAGGCTGTGGATACAGCCTGGAGAGCGATGCGCAACAGAAACAGTCTCGGCGGGTTGAGAAAAAGAAAAGCGCTCAGAGGCTCAAAAAGGAGGTTGAGTGGTTTTCATGTAGGGCGGGATTTAGGAACCGAGTCGGTCAAGCAAGGTGGGCTCGAGAGTAGAGAGGTATTCGGCAGAAACTGCTGCTTCTGCGCCAGATTGCCAAGGTCTGATTCGACGCTGGTGCCACAAGATTTGGAACAGGCCAGAGCAACCGCAGAGAAGTAGAGAAGAAGAGTGATCGTGGTAAAGAGCGGTGGGATGGGGAAGTGTAGAGGGTGGCCGGCTCGTTCTTGGGGTTCGAGGTGAAGAAGTGAGGGCACACCGAGACACGACAATGCTAGAGCCAGAAGAAAGCCCAAGAAGCGAAAACCAAAGGTAAGAAAGGGAAAATGCAAAAAAAAAAAAACTAAGTAGATGATGAAGCGAACAGAAACCCCAGCTCAAGCAATCCCAACCCAGGTTCGCTTGTTCATCCGGCTTTGCTAGGCCCCTGGTAACTTATGACGGGTAGGCTCCGGTTGAGTATCTGTCTGGCTTTCACTCTGTGCGTGTTGTGCGTCTGTGTCTCCGGGGTGGATTCCTGGGCTAGACCGGGCTCGGCTGGGATTGGGACTGGGCTGGGCTGAGGGAGCGAGGCCTTGTCTGCTCCGTTCTTTTGTGCGTGTTTCCCTCTCACTTTCTCTCTCTCTCTTGTCCGTTATTTCTCCCCACAGTTGACAGGAAGCGGCGCACAAGAGATAGAGTGGGATGTGGGCTAGGGTGTGGAGGACAAATGGGCACAGGATGTGGATGGGGATCATGGATGGGAGAGGAGGGGAGGGGGAGTGGGAGTGGACGAGAAGGGCAACGAGCTTGAAGTTTATGGAGTACGAAGTACGAACGGTACGCACCTAGGATCAGGGGAGGCGCAGGGACTCCAAGAAGTCGATCGGGTCAAAAGTCAATGGAGTTAAGTTAAGTCGAGTTGAGTCGAGTTGGAAGCGAGGCGAAGTCTTGGGGGTTTAGATTCAAGCGAGGGTGCTCGGCAGGCAGAGAAAAGGATCAACGTCGAAGAACGAGAACGACGACGGAGACAGCGACCGGCGACAGCGAGGGCGACGGGGATAGCGGTCTCGAGGCGACTCAGGTGCGGTGAGCAGCAAGAATTGAGGGCCGTTCTTTGGTACGGTAGGGTATCCGTACGCGGTACAGACGACAGAGAGCGCTGTATCTGTACTCGGTAGAGTCGCAACAAGCAAGGTATCCGTATGGGTACGTGTGTTGTACGGTCACGACGGTTGTACGGTGTACCCAGCAGCAAGTCAGTGCCGTATGGAAAAGACCTGGCGCGTGAAGCAAAGTGGAAAGGGTGACGGGACCGAAAAAAAAGGGATCCGCGTAAGTATGGAGTCGAAGTCCGACGATGAGGAGTATTCCAAGAGGGACTAGGACCAGTAGTAGGGGCGGCGGCAACGGCCGGAGGACCACCAGCAAGGTTGCAATCGTTAATTTCCAGATGCCTGCTCTTTTGGGCGAAGAAACTGTCGATGTAGGGACAAGCGTGTGCTGTAGGCGTCTTGGTTTTCACTTGTGCTTTTGGCACTGGGAAGAGTCGACGAGGTTATGGGAGGGGGGGGGGGCGTTCGTTTGGTTTTGGACGCACAGACTGACTTTGGATAGACGGACCGGGCAGAGGGTTGAAAAGCAGCTTGAGCTCCGAGGCAGACGCGAGGGAAGAAGTGGGCTGAACGGCGGGTCGAACCTGTGAGGGCGAAGTATCTTGAAGGTACTGCAAGTTCCGTAGACCGATTCGAGCTTTGGGAAGATGGAGGTGTGAAAGACCGCAGCAGGAGAATGTGACTGTGACTGCGACTACTGCTGATGCTGCTGCTGCTGGTGATGCCGATGCGTAGGCTGGCGGGGGAATATGCGAGATGTATTCGTACAGACTGAGAGTAGGTATCCGTAGTGTGGGAGGTGCAGCTTGCAGAAAGAGTCAATGTGCTCGAGTGGAGGTGGGAGCAACGAGATATGGATATGATGAATTGTCCGTCCCTCTGGAGTCTGTCTGGCCTGACTTGTATTCGTAGGCTAGTCGAGAAGAGTGGGAGTGAGCGAAAAAGAGAGAGAGAAAGAGAGAGAGCGCGCGCCAGGCGATGCGAGATGCGAAACGAAACGAAGCAGAGACAAGGCGACGAGTGGAAGCAGGTATTCGTGGTTGTACCGCAGTACCCGTACTCCGTAGTGCCGTGGTGAACGGCAATGTTTCAACGTGAGTGTCGTGGGTGTGCAGCGCAGTGCAGTGCCCTCCAATTCTTAGGTGCCCTGTATCCGTACCTAGGTATTCGTACGTAGGTGACTGCGCAGGCACGGCAGGGCAGACACTTGGTGTAGACACTGGCTTCACTAATAGTGGACGGCGTAGCGCGCTCGCTTTACGGCTGGGCGGTCTGAGAGAATGGGGCTCGTGATGGGGATTTGGCGTGATTGGGATTGGTTTGGGAGAGTGGAAGGGGGGGGGAAGACGTGAGGGGAAAGGGGAGGGAAGAAAGAGACTCGAGAGTGTGAATGTGACTCGGGGAACGTCTGGGCAAGCTGCAAGTGGGCACAAAGGGGGGGGGGGGGTGGGAAAGGGGAAAGAATGGAAGAGAACAAATGGTTGGGAGGAGAACCTGAGAAGGGGGAGACAGGGAGCCGATTATTGCCGGGTGTGGAATAGTCTCATCTGGGTGAGCCTGGAGTCGAACCTTTTTGTCATGTTCCATTGGCTACCTACCTTAAGGCTTAATGACAATGTTCATCAACAGGCCAATCGTGTATTTAAATGTCGCAGTGTTTCTGTTTCGTTTGCCTGGCTTTTCACTCCATGAGCCTGAGCCTGAGCCTGAGAAAACACAGAAATAATAACCAAGGAAAGGGGCGAGTCGGATGTAGGTAGGTATCAAGTGAGTAGGTATCAAGTGAACTTGTACAAAGGTACCTACGAAAAAATAAATCAATAAAAAATCGAGAAAAAAAGGAGTGAAGGAACAGCTGCTCCTTGCCGAATTCCACGCCGCTGGTCAGCCCAGGCGCTGGGATATGAGAATGTGTACTCCGTACGGAGTACGCAGTAATAAAGCACACCTTGCCTTACTTGGCAAATCTATCCTTAATAAACTTAACATCATCGTATTTTCAGACCTTGCCCTTATTTTCCTTAGACCGCATGCTATCTCTCACCCGTGACCATACTACGTATAGCATACAACGGCCTCCTGCCCTGTGCTCAAGTTTAGCTCAGAAGCGAACTCATCTCATAACGTCTAGTCGTTCATCAGCGAGTGAATGGATGAGTGAGAGAGGGAGGTCATGTCAAATTCAGTCCTACCTTTCAATCTCACTCTCACTCTCACTCTCACTCTCACTCTCACTCTTACCCTCACTCTCACTCTTACTCTTACTCTCGCTCTCAGATGCCAGAAGGAGCGAAGGGATGGACGGCTCTGCTGGTAAATTGACAAACACTTACGCACTGACCCCCCTTTTCCAGGGACCTTCCAGATGTACCTTGCCTTATGTAAACATAAAGCCCCAGATGTACCGACCAGGGCCCCAGAGTCCAGTTCCTAAGTTCCCACCGCACACATCCGCGTCCATACATTCCAGCTTCAGTCTTAACGACTTCAACCCCCAGCAACCACCCCTCCCAACTTCCAAAGGACCCAAACTCCCGCCGGCCCCTATCGCGGGAGCAAACGGGGAAATGTACGAGACGAAAAGAAGCCGCCTCAACTACCTGCTCCTTGCGAATACCCAATGCCTACCAAACACAGTTTGACCGCAGTCGTGTCTTCTCGTCTCTGCCGATCTTGATATCTGAATTCCAGTGCCCTCTCTCGCGTTGGCGTACTGCCCTTACGTTGTACGACGTTAGGGGCCCGCCTCAACTGCGCGCCGGTCCTCTTGTCCCGCAGGTCGGGCCACGCACCATCAATCGGAATCCTGCGGCAGCGGCAGGAGAAGCAGGAGGGGAAGAAACATCAGACGATCGAGCTGCACGAGGACCCTTTTTCCCGGTCTTTGTGTGTGCCTATAGTACATACTAGGTAGCTACTACGGAGTAGGCGCAGGCATACTATATCTTGCAGAAACGCTGCACATGCAGCCACAGAACGTGTGCCAGCTTCCAACATCCCACATTACCACGCTACGGATACACTACACCAACCCACTCTTGCGAAACGGAGGGGAAAGTGTCACCAAGGGAATTGCGACTTGTAGTCTAATTCGAACGCGTACAGGTTCAACAGATGCAGATACTGGTCTGGAATGAAAGCATAGACCGCGTTGATTGTATGTTTACGCTCGGAATACCCTATGATACACAGAGACTTGAGGAGATACCAGAGGATACGGATACCAGGCGAGCAGTAATCGCCATGGGAGGCTGGTCCCTGTCCTGGTCCTTGTCGTCACCGCTCCTCTGGGCCTGTCATCCACGCTGTCTGTCTGCTGTGCCGCGCTCGGTTTTTTCTCCCCCGTCTCTGGCCTTCTTACAGATACAATTTACGCTGGCTGCTCTCGATGCTCTGACCCTTGAACAATTTTCCGGGCCACCTCCATCCATCCCAGCCAGCTGACGACTGAGGACGAAATTGTCCCCATTGACGATGAAGAGCAGGAGGCTGGAGACTGGAGCCTGGAGCTTAGCTTCCGCGGCGGAGTCCATGGCATAGGGACACAGATGGCAGAAGACCTATTGCACCACAACGGTGACACTGACAGCTCCAGCAACAAGTCCCCTTGCGTCTTGTGTCTTGCCCCTCGTCGGAAACAAACATCGCCTGGCCTGTCATGTCTCAGGCGAGCAATCCCGGGATAGGCACCCTGCCGACCCGACGATGGCCCTGAAAGTTTGGGAACACTGATGACTGGACAGGCGACCGCGGATCGCGGACGACGGCGCACCCTCACGGCTCACACACCTGGGCCACGGCACCCGCTACGAATTACAAAGACGTGGGAAAACGTGGGAACCTGGCCACTTGTCATTTTAGGTGGATGCGGATGTTTCAACATTCCCCGGCTGTCCCCTGGTTCTCGAATTGTTCCAGCCTCGTTTTTGTGCAAAGATTGGGCCTCTGCCTCGTGTCGCGCCAGGATTGTGCCTGTCTGGGTCACTCGAACCAAGAAAGCCACCTGCTCCGTTGCATCTCGACCAACGCCCCGAATGTGTCTTAGCCAGGCAGCCGGTTCACTCTAGCTGAGAAGCGCTACTGCTACTCCAAGATGGTCGGGTTAGTATAAGGCGGGCGTCTCCTTTTCGTGTAATGGCCGAATTTAGCGCCCCTCTACGGAGCAGATTTCCGAGAAGTGTACCGACCGTTTCCTCCGGTCTGGCCCGCGTCTGTTCGGCCGAGTCATGGGATGACGGGCGAGGGTGGCCGCTTCGCCTGTGGCTAGCTAACTAAAGGGTCAAAGAGCTGGAGCTTGGAAGGGCCCCGCGAGGCAGGCCGGTCGTCAATGTGGAACGAGCCCCTGGAAGCTCATCAGCGGTGCCTCCGTGCCGGACCGCCGATCAGTCATTCACGGGTCCATGTGCTATATACCGGTGTCATCTCCAGACAGACAAACGGTGGTACGGAAACGCGCCTCCACCTCCATGTGCATGTCGGGCTCGGCTTCGCTTACCACGTCCTTACATTTTGGGGCTTGACATGACGGACAAGTGCGACGATGGGCGTGTCTAAACCTCATCTCGTCTGCCCTTCACGTCTCGGCCCAACGCCTCGTTTGAGCTACATATCTACGGGGCTTCCCCTCTCTGAAGCAAGGCAGGCCATGAAGAAGATGCCACGAGCGCAACTTGCTACAATACTGCAATCAAACAGGCTCGATGCTGCCTTCTCCGCATCTACTCTTGGCATGATGGAATGGAGGAACGGAGTGATGGCTGCGACGACTGAGCATGTGGCTCCCGTTTCCAAAGTGTACGGCGGTATGCCTAACGAGTGAGGCCTCGCGCGGTCATGAAGCCGCGAGCTTGCTCACAATGGATGCTCGAAATTCTATAAATCTAACTACCCGAGCACAACTTTGGTCAAGAATGAGGCTAACTTGTGGTAGCTATCTGAGTATCACGTTGCGAGGAGAGGCAGAGTTTGGACATTTCTCATTATTTCATACGTTCTATATAAAAGGTAGTCAGAGCGAAGACGCTGCTACTTGCTCAGGTCACGCCTCTTGAGGCTGATCAAAGCGTCATGTTACCAGTCGCAGCGCCACGCCGGGTATTCAGATGGAGAGTGCGTGTATGCACGTCTCTAGGTTGGAAGGAGTTGATGCTCCTATTCTGTGTTTCATAGCATCGACCCTTTTTTGCTTTTTCAACATTCCGGGATCTCGTCCGCTCGTCGTGCTTAGACTCTCAGGTACTGGAGAACCGAGGAGCGAGCACCAAGACCCGTCATCCAACATACCGTCCCCAAACCAAGTTCCACTCGTGGCCACTGGCGCCTGTACTTAGGCGACGGTGGCCTTCTCCTTGGGTAAAGGGGTGAAGCGCAGGTAGGGCTTGACGATGCGGACCTCGGGGAAGAGCTCCTTGGCCTGCTCGGTCTTGATGGAGGGGTGAACGATGACGTCGTCGCCGGGGACCCAGTTGATGGGGGTGGTAATCTTGTGCTTGTCGCCGGTCTGGAGGGAGTCGACGATGCGGAGGACCTCGGCGGAGTTGCGGCCGGTGGAGGCCGGGTAGGAGAGGATGGTGCGGATGGTCTTCTTAGGGTCGATGATGAAGACGGAGCGGATGGTGAAGGCGATGCCCTTCTCGTCGACGTTGGTGGTGTCCTGGTAGTCGAGCATGTCGTAGAGGAGGGCGACCTTGCGCTCCTTATCGGCGATGATGGGAAAGGCGACCTTGGAGCCGGTGACCTCGTCAATGTCCTTGATCCAGCCCTCGTGGGAGCCGAGGGTGTTTGCGGAGAGGCCGATGAGCTTGACGCCGCGCTTGGAGAAGTCAGGCTCGAGCTTGGCGAAGGCGCCGAGCTCGGTGGTGCAGACGGGGGTGTAGTCCTCCGGGTGGGAGAAGAGGACGACCCAGCTGTCGCCGATAAAGTCGTGGAAGTCGATGGGGCCGTTGGTGGTGTCGGCCTTGAAGTTGGGGGCGACGGTGCCGAGGCGGAGGCTGTTTAAGTACGATGTTAGCATTGGTATACGGTGAAGAGGCGAGCGTCGCCGTCGGCCGCGGCGGGGTATCACGGCGCGCGGGGTTGAGTTTCTGAGAGGCGGGTAGGTTGACAACTTACGGAGCGGGGCGCTGGTCAGCCATTGTGTCTGTCTTCTTTGTAGAGTATGAGAAGATGGGTGTGTGTGAAGGGGTATATGGTATGGAAGAACAAAGAGAGAAAAGAAATGAGGAAGGGGAAGGCTGCGGCAGATGGTGTGGGAGTCGAGGTGTAATATATAGCTCGAAGCCGCGCCCCAAACACAGTCCAGAGCAACGTACAAAGCCCGGCCGTTTTCGTACCTCTGTACCTTTTCCTCAGCTTCCCGCAGCTTCCCGTTCTCCAAGGTACCTCCAGTTCGTCCCCTCCTTGCTCTTTCTTCAACTCACCTTTGCCCGGTCCTGACTAGATTGCTTGAAGGCCTGTTTCCCTATTTCTCGGCCTTTGGCTTTTTTCTTTTTTTTTTTACCTCGAAGTTGCCCATTTCTCTATTGTTCGTTTGGTCTTGCAGTCTTTCCCTGTTCCCAGTTTGACGATATGGTCGCCGACGTGCCAAGCTCATGCAACTTACGCACTCCAGCTCGAGTACAACACTCAGCATATGCCCAATGAACCGTCACATCACCAAGCATTGGCATTGGCAACCCGTAGAAAGCCACAGAATCCCCTGGGTGACGGGCATCCTCTCTACCAAAGAGATGATTTGTCTTTGTACCCTACCCGTGTCTCTCCCCCCCAAACTGGCACGTTGTTCCCTCAACGACGAGCGGCAAGCTCCTCCAACTTTTGCCCCGCGTTGGAGGGGCTGTATATTTTCACTTTTGCAGAGGTCACTTTTACCCCTCCAAGTCCGAAATCGGCTAGACCCGATGGCGTGCTCGATTACATCATCCTTGGCTCAAGGCACATCATGAGAAATCAACCTTCTAACTGCAGTGAGGAAGACGCCTACTGGGCCCCTTTTGGGAGAACCTTTACGGCGCTATCTGCAGAGACTAACCAGCTAAGAGGTGCTCCAGCCTCTTGGGAATAAGGTAGTGTGTTACTGTGTGTACGGAGTATTGTTTCTTATCTGGGAGCTCAAGGGTGCGGTCCACTTTGCCCGGCACCTCTCGTCACCTCCCGTCTTGTTGTGTGATGTCGTAGATATTCTTCAGCAATGTTTGAAGCCCGAGATATATACAAATGTAGTCCAAATATAGCCATCTACTTTTCATTGAGTTTTGAGATACGTATAGGATCTCATGCAGAAAAACGTCTAACGGCGATCAATGGTGCAATCCAGTCGATAACCTCCAACTCACTGACCCCCACTGCTTGGTCACCACATCATCCACGCCGCACATCGAACCATTACAAAAGAAGAATCCTAGAAAGGTGCCACGGCATCAAAGGTATAGTGGTGCTCCGTACACCAAAGCTTACCCATCTTACCATCCAACCCCCGGTAGCTCCTCGCACGCCATCGCCGACAACCGATGCCCCTCCCGTCCCACGGTTCCACTCACATCGCCGACCTCCTCCGTTCCCGCGCCGACTGCCGGCTGCCGATCCCCGGGCTCAAAAAGGTAATCCATCCTGGAGCATCGTGGAGGTAATCAACCTGTTCTTTATACTCTCAGTGTGTCGTGTTAATTCGGTTGAGTATCCCTTCGGCACGCCCTGGATTGCAAATGTGTCGTCTTCCCTTGGTATGCTTGGCTTCCCTACGGAGTTGTGTCGATGGCTACATCAGGGGCATTGGCATTCATACTTTGCCCGAGGCCGGACTTTTACCTCCTCTACCATCTATCAAGGAATCATGGTTCAACTTTCCTGTCCACAAGCCAGGGCAGATTGGTGTTGTCTGGCAAAGGACGGAGAATCTACAAGGCTACCCAAAACGCATTTCATTTCCCGAACCCATCATTGTCGAGACAAGTGTCGCAACGATGAGGAGGAAATTTTTTCCCATGGCCAATGTCCATTAATAATGCTTCGTTGGCATGCTGGCTAGGTAGTTTACGATAACACTGCTTTCCAGTGAAAGTAGAAGCGCAATTTGACGGGCATCCATCATCTCGGTAAAATGCTGCGCCACTCGGTAGGATCATCAGTGTTCTCACGCGCCTCGACATTTGGTTTGCTTTGGACAATACTACAGCAGAGACATAGAAGCTCTACGGCTGAGTCGTGAGCTGGAAATTTAAAGGTCGAATTGACGGGGGTCCGTGGCAAAATGCTGCTGCCTTGCGCAGACGGAGTTGACCTCCGTAAGAATGCCATTCTCCCATAATCTTTACCCAGGATCCGACGCCTTTCTACGTTATTGAACCTCACAAAGACGACAATATACTATTCCAAGAAGAAATAGAAGAAAAAGGACCTAGCTTGAGGGGGGAATCTACATCAACATCGGCATCAATATCAACAGGGGTACTCTTTCACTGGTGATTGGAAAACACGAGCCTCCAGAACCCCAAATCTCGTACTAGTGAGACTCAAACAAAAAAACCATGGACCCAAACTACACAAGAGCCGAAACCAGAACCTTCCACCTCCCAGACGGCCGCACCCTAAGCTTTGCAGTCTTTGGCGCCGGCGCAGAGACGTTCAACAACAACACCACCACCCCGTCGTCACCCACGCAGCAAGGACATTCTTGTCCGACGGCCGTGTTGTTCTATTTTCATGGCTTCCCCAGCAGCCACGAAGAAGCAGCAATCTTCCACCGGGCCGCACGCCGCCACGCCGTCCAACTCCTCGCCCTCGATCGACCAGGCCACGCCGGCTCCAGTTTCCAGTCCAACAGGCGCATCGTAGACTGGCCTGCCGACGTCCTCGCCTTTGCAGACTACTTTGCGATTCCCCGGTTCGGAGTCCTAGGTCTATCGGGGGGCGCACCGTATGTTTTTGCATGCTGGAAAGCCATCCCGCGCGAGAGGCTCATGGCAGCCGGGGTTTGTTCGGGGTTATACCCGCCTGAGCTGGGGTACGCCGGCATGCTCCTTCAGGGGCGGGTGATGTTGACCGTAGCACCGTGGATCGCGCCGGTCGTGGCGTGGGGTATGGATATGTCGCTGGGCAGGGCGGCGAGAGATGAGGCGCGACCAGAGAGGTTTGAGGGGATTGTGCTGGAGGATCTGAAGACGAGGCCGGGCGTCGATCGGGATGTGTTGGATGGGGATATTGGCGGGGTCCGGTCTGCTATGCTTGCTAGTGTGCGGGATGCTGTGGTGCCTGGGGGGTGGGGACCGGCCTGCGATGTCAAGTTGGCGGGGAGTTATTGGGGGTTCGAGATTGGGGAGCTGGAGGTTGGGAATGGGGGAATGGTTTGGTGGCATGGGGGGGAGGATGTGAATGTGCCGGTTGGTCTTGCGGAACGGGCGGCGGAGTGTGTGCCTGGGGCGGAGTTGAGGTCGGTGGAAGGGGAGGGGCATGTTAGCCTTGTGGTACGCAAGGCGGACGAGGTTATATCGACTCTTTCGGGCATGCTGAGGAAGGCAAGTTGAGGGTTAGAGGTGTGGGACATATCACAGGAAGTTTAGTATGTGGTATTGATTTTATTACTGATGATCATGGACTATTTCTGCTGTAGCCGTGCTTCTTCCCTACTGGCCTCAAGAAGCCTTCGAGACTGTGTGAGGATCGAAGCTCTGGTACCTCCGGTGACATCCCATTTTGCTGAATTGCATTCATCGGGGTGGGCTAGCCGGGGGAGTAGGGGGATCGGTGTTGGGCGAAGGAGGATCATTGTTCTTGCTGTCCGTCACTTTGACGTCCGTGTTGATCGTCATGTTCATTTTGGGTCTTGTGGATGGTGAAGACTGAGGCATCTTGTCTTGTATTGCTTTGTTATGAGGTGTGTGTAAGATATGGAAGAAGATCGAGGTAAGCTGTTCTAAAATGTTGTATCGTGGCGAGGTAGATGTATGTTGTTGAGGAGGATCGAGATATGTCAGTATGTTGGAGCTGTCTGTGATGATGTAGAAGAGAATAGCTTTGATGGATCGAAACATCTCGAGTCTATATACATTCCAATGTCTCATTCGTGAATCATCTGCCGAGGATCACACGAAGTAGTGAAGCTGACTGAAGTGGGATTGAAATACAGTGAATAACGATTCCTTGGTGCGCTGTCACTGTCGTCAACAAAGATAATCTACAACCGATCTTGGTTGATCGGATGACCGAACAGGTATGATAGCATACTTTGTACTTGCCTTTGCCAGACAGAAATCAATACATGGAAGGTAGCTTGGGCACTCTTCGAGTTGACTCCGCATTGCCTTTCTTTATCTCAAGTAATGAAGATGTTAACGAACGGCGCAGCTAGCCGAAACTCGCCATCCCATCACAGCTAGAAGATTATATGACCTTGCCGAGGGATAGGCTGCGCTTGTTCTTTAGCGATATTAAAGCAAGGTGAATTACGTAAACCTCCCTGTCGAATGGTATGGAAACATCAGTTTTCATGGGAAATGGTCAAGCTTGTATGAGGTGTTAAGTATAATGTGCCAATTAGCTATGTTCTGAGCGAATGAAGTAAGGTAAGAAGTGGTATCTCGCTTGCGGTAAAACAGTCCCAAGAATAGAAATCTACAGCTTCACCCGTCCACCGTCGAGTTCATCCCAATCCCGCCCCGAGAAAGGCTCGTAGGTGTTGTTCTTCAACCAATACACTTCGCCCGCGGCGTCCGTGCCGCCCGGCCTGACACCCTGGGACCGGAGACCGTGCTTCTGCTGCTTGTTTGTACCCGTCGTCTGCATAGCCTCGGGAGGCATGACTCGCAGGAAAATGGGCAAAGCATACTTGGGTAGTGACTGCTTCACGTGCTGCGCGATACTCCTGAGCACCTCCTCGGATGGTTGGCCTTGAAGAACGACGGCAGCGCACCCTGCGCGTCCGTCGTGGTTGGGTAGCTCAACGCCGTAGACATTGGCCTCTTGGACCAGTGGGTGTGAGCCAACGGCCTCGCCAACCTCTTGTGTCGACACGTTTTCACTCTTCCAGCGGAATGTATCGCCAATTCGGTCGGTGAAGTAGAGCCTTCCTTCGCTGTCCCAGCGGACCACGTCGCCTGTCCTGAACCAGGCATCTCCCTTCTTGAAGACGTTCCGCAAG